AATTTAGTAGAGGAATATGCAGATTCCACCATAATTTAGCGGTCATATCTTCATTTTAGTGTCCTATTTAATAACTTTTAGGGAGAGATTGGTTTGCATCTAGATCTAGATCAAGAACTAGGGTTTAGGATTAGTTTTTTATTGTCAACATTCATGTTATTTTTTATTTAGCATATGGGATTAAGTTTACATGAACAATAACAGGTGAATATTAACTGGTGCTAATTATTTTATTTTTAATCGTTTATTTCAATTAACAAAATACTTGTTTAGTGGTACATTAGTTTTGTTAACTAGGTTGTTTTAATCTCTTGCATGAAGAATATGTAGTACTTACATGTGTATTTTACGACAATAACATGGTGAAAAAAGTTGAACAAGATTATCTATAATTTTAAATAAGAATGACCTTCCATTATTATTTTGTTAGATACTAATATATATTCTTCTAGGAAAAGATGGAGTACAGGAAGATTATCTACAATCACATCAATTTTTTTGTTGATCTTTGTAGAAAAAGATGGAGTACAGGAAGTCATGGATGTATGGTTCTTGGTGGAAGCCAGGTTTTTGACAAGAAGTCGATAGATTTATTAAAACAACAGAGAAGCATTCAATGGTGACAAAGAACATAATCGAAATTCTTTGTCCGTGTAGCGATTGCAAGAACCATCTCGCATGAAAATGATGTGATTGTAATTAGATCACACTTGATTGTGTGAGGTTCTGTGAAGGACTGTACAGTTTGGATCCACCTTGGTGAAACACCCATTAATATTGTGCTACATTTAAATCAGTATTCTGAATATGGATTATCACTGCCGGCCTAGACAAATCGTTGGTGATATGGTAAAATCGATGGTGATGATCAAGACATCACAACCGGATAAAACATCGCAGTGGTGGTGATGTTCAAGACATGACCGTCGGATCAAACGCCACCTTGGCGGTAATCATCATTTCATCACCTTCGGGTCAAACAATGCACTGACAGAGAGAGAATCTATAGTAGTGGATCGAGTCACCACTGACCATATGATTGATGCATATCACCTATGCAGAGAGTATACTCGTGATGAACAAGCTACCTTTTGCTTTTGAGATGCATTATGCATGCATGCACAAAAAGTATAGCAGCGGCATCGATCTCTCATGTTACGTGGACCATGCAAAAAGTTCCTGTATTATTGCCACACAAGTTCCTGTATTGAGGCAGGCATCCTGTGCTCTCCTCGGAGCTTTAATTTTCCTTTACACACAAGTATTATTGCCACCTTTGTTCCCACCAAGGTTCCTCAAATGAAAGGAAATAAAGGACCAAGGCAAAAAGATAAAAAACAATCACTAAAAAAAGAAAATGAGAAGAAAAGGACCAACGACAACGACCATACTATGTGTGCAATATTTATTTACCTACAAAGAAATGCGTGCATAATTACTGCACATATATACACTCTAAGGAACCACGTTGAGATGTGTCATGGTTCAATTAAGCCTGCTCGAATCTGCTTAAAGATTAAGCATAAGCAACTAAAAAAAATAGTAGATGACACATGACTGTTTGAGGGGAACAGAGAGTGATCCAACAGGGTATGCCACAACATACCGGGCTATATGAGGAAGAGCCTGAATGCTTGATCATACATGTGATGGATTGTCGGGGCAGGGGGTCCACAGGGTATGCCGCGACATACCGAGCATACCCTTTGGATCCTCCCAATACAGATGACGAGATATTATTAGTACTGAGCTGTCAATTTGAGGGTTTTTGGCTAGACTGCTTCATAATTATGTTGCCTTGTAGTTGTGCTTTTGGCCCAAAAATATACAATGTAAAATAAGCACATCACAGACGCGCGTTGAGGTCATTACAGACGCGTTTTTGCACATCTGCCATAACACGTCTATAATAAGGTCTTATTACAGACGCGTCAAAAGAGCGTCTGCAATAAGATTCTACTACAGACACGTGTTACCAACAAGCGTCTATGTTATACAAACAAACGTATGTGATTGGGCTATAGGACAGACTGGTGGAGTAAAAATGTGTCTGTAATAGCTCTATCACACAAGCGTATAGTTAAGACGCGTCTGCGACTTCCCCTTATTACAGACGCGCATAAGAAACACACGTCTGTGATAATGAATTAAAAAACAAAAAAATATAAATTCCAATGCTAGAATCTTATATACATCATGACACATCAAATTATATAGTCAATTGCTAATTAACAATTTCATATACATGAATCAAAGGCCATTACATGTCCCTCCCACATACTACAATTAAACCTAGTTGCTACTTGAACTAAGATAAGCAACTACAGGCGTGTAACTAATAATCTTCTCGAAGGGAAGGAAACTAACTTTAAGACGATGCTTCCTATGAATAGTCTGAGCAAACTTTTCAGTTCACATATGACAAGTCATTATACCTACATAAAGGAAATACATACAAGTGGTGATTATGACCTCTATTGATTGAAAATATATCATTATTTCATTCACTCGTAAAACTACAAGTTCAGTTCAGCTAACAAAGATAAATAGAAACATAAGTGCTTGGCAAAGCTAAGGTAGCACTTTTAGCTATTCAGTGCTTGATAAAGATAAATAGCAACAGAAGCACTTGGCACTATCACAGAAAATTTATATAAATTTCAGGTACTACTTAGTAGTTCATCCATTGCCCCCCTTAAGTTAGTTCAGCTGCTTTAGTGTCCAAATAAAGCACTCACAGTTCGATAAGGATCAATGCAACTATTCATCATAAATATTTCATAAATATTAGTTCCCAAGTCCCAGTATCAACAAGTCATTGCATACCAATAATTAGGAGGCTGAGCTCCTAGCTGTGATTATGGAAAGGTGAGCAGCTGGCTAACAATTATCACTCCACACAAAAACTGTCAAAATTAGAAGCTGAAGCACATCTTACCATTCCATAAGGTCCTTATCACCAGCGAGGAAGAAATAAGCTAAGGCATCAAACTTACACTGCCTATTGGTCCTTATCAAACTTTCAAAAACTTTTAGACACTTCTGGTGGACCAAGAAATCAGCTGCTTTGTCAACATTGATATCCAGCTGATAGCTATAGCATGAGAAAACAAAAGAACCAATTGTTATTCAAAGTTGTACTAATTACCGGGGAATTAAGTTGATGAGCCATACTATGAAGCTATGGGAGAGAGTTATCGAGCATCGCTTGAGAGCAATAACGCGGGTCTCTATGAACCAATTTGGTTTCATGCCCGGAAGGTCAACCATGGAAGCAATTTTCTTAATAAGACAAGTTATGGAGTGGTATAGGGAGAAGAAGAAGGACCTACACATGGTTTTTATTAACTTGGAGAAGGCTTATGATAAAATACCAAGGAATGTTATGTGGTGGGTTTTGGACAAACATAAAGTCCCAACGAAGTACGTCGGGCTCATTAAAGACATGTACAACAATGTTGTGACTAGTGTTCGAACAAGTAATGGAGACACGGATGACTTCCCGATTAGGATAGGACTACATCAAGGGTCAGCTTTGAGCCCTTATCTGTTTGCCTTAGTGATGGATGAGGTCACAAGGGACATACAAGGGGACATCCCTTCGTGTATGCTTTTCGCGGACGATGTAGTGCTAGTTGATGAAAGCCGGACAGGAGTGAATCAGAAACTGGAGTTATGGCGGGAGACTTTAGAATCCAAAGGTTTTAGACTCAGTAGAACTAAAACTGAGTATATGAGATATGACTTTGGCACTACTACTCGGGAGGAGGAAGATATTAGTTTGGAAGGTCAAGTAGTGCCTAGGAAGGATAGCTTTCGATATTTAGGATCAATGCTACAGAGAGACGGGGATATTGATGAAGATGTTAGTCATAGAATCAAAGCAGGATGGATGAAGTGGCGCCAAGCATCTAGTGTCCTATGTGATAAAAGGGTACCAGTGAAGCTAAAAGGCAAGTTTTATAGGACGGCGATTAGACCTGCTATGTTGTCCTACAAGAAGGAATCGGGTTCGGAATGTTGGCCTACGAAAAAACGGCATGTTCAACAGATAAGTGTCGCGGAAATGCGTATGTTGCGTTGGATTTGCGGTCATACAAGAAGGAATCGGGTTCGGAACGATGATATACGTGATAGATTAGGGGTAGCACCAATTGAAAAAAAGCTTGTCCAACACCGGTTGAGATGGTTTGGACATGTCCAACGGAGACCTCCAGAGGCACCGATGCGTAGTGGAATCCTAAGCCAGGGTAGTAACGTGAAGACCGAGACAGAGGAAGACCGAAGTTGACTTGGGTAGAGGCAATAAAGGGAGACTTGAAAGAATGGAATATACCCAAAGACTTAGCCTTAGATAGGAGTGCTTGGAAAACAGCTATTCACGTGCCTGAACCTTGATTGCTTCTGCTGGGTTTCAACTCTAGCGTACCCCAACTTGTTTGGGACTAAAAGGCTTTGTTGTTGTTGTTGTATGATTATACAAATAAGAAAATCAAAAGAACAAAAAAATTGGCCTAGCAATGTAAATCCAAGAAGAGTGTCTGCAGCTACCATCTTCCTTTGGTTCAAACAAATCTTAAACTAATGCTACTTAGATAAACTAAACTGGTACTCTGGCAGCATGAGTAAACAGAACAAAGTAAAGAAGTAGGCATTTATTTGGCTACTGAGATACTAGCTCATCCTAATCCTAAGTAATCCAAACAGTAACATTAAAATCCACATGGTGGATCCACTAATATGCATATAACGATAGCTAGGAATCAGAGGGACTGCAAAACAAAAACCCTTGGGAAAAGTTTCTAGTGGTTCCTCAAATCTAAATTTTGGACTATCTTTGCAAGCAATGTTAAGAACAGAGAAAATAGCTTTTCTTAAATTCAAATCAGAATAATATTTTAAGAGGATGTCATTTGGATGTCACAGGATGTGCTAAACTGAGAAGGGGATATGATTCATAGTCTACCTTCTTTTTTTTCACAGCTTTCTGAAGCTTTTCATTAATCATGTCTTGAGAATGAAGCTCTGCCCTTGTTAAAAGCATCAAGCACGAGGGTAGCCTGTAGCAATAGGAAAAAAATTACCACATCAAAACTAAAACATTGAGTAGCAAGTAGGTTCACCAACAAAGAACTCTCCCAATTTTTTAAAAAAAGGAACAGTACTAGTGAGAGATCTTCATGAATACTAAGGCAAAGTTGAACTGAAGAAACTTGGCAGAGGCAATTAAACAGACCAGCACATACAGCCAAGATTGGGGAAGGTTCCTACCTTCTTGCTGCCTTTTTTCCAGCCTCTCTTTTTCCAACTGCAACTTTGCAAGGTCTATTTCCTTCCCCTAGAAAATAAAACAGCATTCAGTAAGAGATATGGAAGCTTACAGCACACATGTATCAAATATAGAAGGATCAATGTTCCCTAAATCTGATGGAACACAATAATGGATGGCCACCATCATCATAAAACTAAGAGGGACCATGACAGTAATATTAAAAGCCTAGCACAGATATAGTAAGGGTTTTGCATGTAGGCCTAGTAGTGGGCTAGAATTTCCTTCAATTAATATCAGAATTTGGTGTGCATATATTCAGTTTCATCTCACATCACAAACACATCATCTGAACTGAAAACGAAATGAGCAAAGAATTATTTGCAGCAAGGTAGACTACCACCGGAAGAACAGGAACTTTGTTGGTGGCCTAATTTTTACTTTACCTGAACAAAGGTCACATCAGGAAAATACACTAATCCCAGTTATGTGCACCAGTTTCCTGTAGAGTTTCTAGAATGCACAGAAAAAGACATACAGACACCAATTTGCACCAATCAGAGTAACTAATAGGAGTAACTAATAAATTTTGACTAGTGATGCTGCAGTACTACTAGAATTTGGTGGTTGACTTTTGAGAGTGGGGTTCAGCCGTTCAGGGCAGCTTGGAACGAACTGAAACCACAACTTCAATCAGTAACTGTTTTCGTTTAAGGACAAACAGAAGTGAATCTCCCAAAGAAAATTAGTAGTAATAGTACTGAATTAGTAAGTGCGAGGAAGCAGTAGTAATAAGGGAGAAAGAAAGCAAAGGAGTGACCTGGTCCAGCAGCGTGCGGTTGGCGACCTCTTCCCAGAAGCAGAGCACGACAGCCGCGGCCACTCCGACCTGAGCAGCTGCAAGAACTACGGATCCTGCAGGAATAAGACGAGCGCGCGAGGGGGCCTCCTGGAGTGCGACGTACCTGGCGACGACCTCGGCGCAGTGCGCGACCAAATCTTCAGGGACCTCGGCGCAGGTTGACAGCGATGCCAGCGTCCGCGCCGTTTTAGATCTAGATCTGAGAGAGAAAAGGAGAGGAGGGGTGGAGACAGAGGAGAAGATTGCGGTGGCGGCAGAGGAGCAGGCGGCGGTGACCGTGCCAGCGGAGGACGACCGCGCCGTTGGAGGAGAGGATCGGTGGCTGCGCCGGCGGCGGAGGAAGACGGAGAGGAGAGACGAAAGACAGAGCGAGACGAGGCACAACGCCATCGAGAGCGGTGGGGAGGGGTGAGAAGGCACAACCATCCTCGTCCTCACCTCCAGCCATGAGCGCGGTGGGGAGTACGGAGAGGACGGCGTCGCGGCGGCGGCGGCTGCTGCGGCGGCCGTGGCTAACCCTAGCGGGGAGATGAGAGTAGTAGAGAATGGGCCTCAGCCGCTCGGGGGACTGGAGGTGGACGCGAGGGGCCGACGGACACAAGGTTCCATTTAACTGGAGTTCATCTTTTTTTCGGGTCCGAGACAAAAATGTACAGACGTGCGTTTACTCAAGCGCGTCTGGGATATACCCACCGTAACACGGACGCATGATAACTATGTACCACAGACGCGTTTTCGCTACACACGTCTGTCATATGTGGTCTAACTACAGACGCATACTGTAAACACGCGTCTGTACCAGTATTACAGACGCGTTTTTCAAACACGCATATGTAGTAAGTGCTTATTACAGACGTGTGTTAACCTCGCTGGACCGGCGACCCTCGCCGACGACTTGCTACAGACGCGCGTCGGGAAGGCGCGTCTATAAACTCGTACTACGGACGCGCATCTGTGCTGGTGTCTGTAGGTGACGTGGTGGATATGTTGCTTTTTTACATAGTGATATATAATATATAATAGGGTACTTTCAATATACGTACTGAGGCAGAGATTCTGAGATTACATTAAAAGATATAAAAGCTTTTAATTTGTTCATGGGATGCATTTGCAGATATATAGTACAGTGGCATCAGATATATGTTAGTTGCTTTTCAATAATGATTAGCAGCATGTTCGGTTGGCTGGCTGGTTCGTGGCTGGATCGTGGATTATTACTGCTGACTGGTTTATTGTGAGAGAAAAATACTGTTCCGGCTGGAAATTTACGATCGTTTACGATCGTATAAGCCCAGCCGAACAGGCTGTAGGATTTGAGTATACTAGTCCACTGCACATGCTTCTTCACAGATACTTGGATAGTATTTTTAAAATACATATTTATGTTCAACTAGATACATATATTAGAGAGCTTTGAATAAATTTGAATCTCAGGTAACTAAAATGGCTTATATTTGACCTGTCTACTATTTGGTCATTTTCTACAACGCCCACAAAAATGATCTATATATAATGTTTGTCAGATTGTGAAGTCTCGTGTTACCAATGACCGGCAAGTATTTCTCTCGTCTGAGCTGCGACCTTGGATTCCTCTCGTCCTCACCCTACTCTGCATCTGTGTTCCGCTTGATGCGTCTAAACATAAGCGGCGTTATATTCGGACATTGCCATCGTTTCCCCAAGTCACGCCGGCTTTGCCCACCGGGGCAAATCAGACTTCCTCCGCACGTCGGGCACACAACATCGACAAGGAGCCGAACGAAGCTAGTATTTTTGGCTCCTCTTCTCTCACCTCGCCTCTCTCAACGCGAATTAAGGAGCTCCTTGGTGAAGCGGAACGGTGGAGGCAGGGGCGGATCCAACAGTGGGGGGGGGGCTCGAGCCCCCCTTATCTATACCGGAGCAGTGGAACCTCTCTAGAGCCCCTATGGATTTTTAGGCAAAGTTCTATAGTGTAGGTGGGGCTGAGACTTAAGATCGAGCAGCAGTCGGAGGTATATGTTGTTCAGCGCCCCCATAAAAATTTTCCTGAATCCGCCACTGTGGAGAGACGTTTGGTTGCCGTTCGCGCGGCCGTGCAAGCGTGGAGCCGCTCACGGAACGCTACCAAACGCCCCCAAAGTGTTTTGCGGTAGAGTCCTGGTTACGACGGCAGCTTGGTGGGGCCGTATGTCCTGTGTGTGTGGTAGCCTTATATACATATCGGGTGGGGGGAGGGGGGAGATGGCCTAGGGGGTGGTTTTCTTCTTCAAACATATATAGGAAGGCTAAACGTACTCATCCGATCCTACATATATCCCTCCATTATATTGCTTTAATTTCTTACTACTAGCTCGTAGGAAAGACAAGGTCAGCCTCTATGGCTAGTGAGTGACGCCGCTGGCCGTTGGCATATGGCACGCGGTGGCGGCGGCGAAGGTGAGGAAGCACATCCATTTCGGTGGCTAGATGCGGCACGGTACGCAGCGGCGTCCATGGTGACCGTGCTCATCCTCATCGTTGTTGTCAAGGCCACCAAGGTGGTTCTCTTCCCCAAGTCCCTCTATGTCTCCGTCCTCCATGGCTCCATCTGGTTTAGCAGTAACTCGTCGGATCCTCCCACTCTTCTCTTCGACATCAACCTCCGGATAGACAACCCCAGAAAGCGCGTCAACATGTACTACGTCGACGTCGTCGCCTTCCTCTTCGACAACGACACCCCAGCGTCGTCAACACATCCATCCTCTGACAGCTTCGTCTACTTCAGTCAGCGCGACAAACTCATGGGGCCGCAGCAGTCGGCGATATTCAGCCTGCTGTTGATAGCACAGCCTATAACAATAGAGCCGAGATTCTTCAACTTGCTGTACAACAACGAGAGCGCCAGCATGAGCGGCGTGACCATGCGGATGGATGCCACGCTCCTCACCGAGGACATGACGTCTGGTGGTTATTATAATACAAGTCGCCCAGTCACCTATTACTGCTGGCCGCTCGTCATCCTGCATCACAAGAACTTTCCCGACGACCCCTTGGTGCTGGAGAATTTCGTGCAGAAAGACAACGTGTTTTGCAGGGACGCGCAGGAAAGTCATTTCATTTGAATATATATTTGATCATCATTTTATATAATCTGTGTGTAGTATACGCATGCAACATGCATGGATGCGTTGATTTAAGTAATTACTACTTATTTATTAATCTTAACTTGATGTTTTTCTGTACTTTTATCATTTATATTATTACTAATAAAATAAAAGTTTATGTATGACGAGGAATCCGGCCGGCCTGCCGCGCGTAACTAAGCAGCGTTAATCATTGCAATTATGTTCGATTACACAGACATGGCGGCGTAATAAATCGTGCGTGAATGACTGCGGAGATTCCTCGCCAAGATTGTGATCACCGGAATTATATTAGCACAGTAGAGCACTTGCGCCGGCGAAGACGTACACGCATGTGACTGGTGAACGTGCAGTATTTTTTTTAAGGGAAGGGGGATTATATTGAAACTCGGCATAGTACATCTCGCCAAACTACATATGAAAAAATCTGAAATAAAAAAAAGGTACAATAGTCTATCCAGATTTTTCCATCGTCTTCTTTCCTAGTGACTTTTTTCGATGAACACAACTCGTTGAACACCCAAGTGTGCAGTTCTTATGCTGAATCCAATGATCAACCCCAAAACATTGGATATGCCGCAAGATCCAACGTTCTTGAACTAATCCAAAATGTATCTGAATCGAACATCGGCAGTGTTGCATCGTTGGGTACAGCATAGGATACAGATTCATTACCTCCAAACCTTGATTTCCAATCCGCGACCAGCGACGATGAGATTGGTGACCCGAAGTAATTGTCCTCGTTGTGAGTGCCTAGAAGCACCCCTTCCCTTGCTAATAATGGTCAAAAAAATTGGCCGTCTACCGATGAAATCGATGCCTGCAATGGTGGTCTCGTCGTGGCAATCACCAAAGTTATCGCAAGTAACAAGATCCCGACCGAAAAATAATCATCTGTTTTTATCGGTAGATTTATTTGGGCTAAACCCTAAACAAACTCGATATAAAACAGCGAAAAATTGAATCCCAAAATATGAAAACTTCAAACAGAATTCTGTGACCGTAAATGATTTCAAATGAAAAACATAAGTGAGACATTTGAATCAAGCACAACAAGAAGCACACAAGACACATGGATTTAACCCGAGGTTCGGCCACACTACTAAGGAGTGCCTATGTCCCCATTGTTGACGTGACCACAAAGGTCGGAGTCTCTTTCACGCCCTTGCCTCACTCAAGCTACTAAAATGGTCAACTCATACTTTCCACTAGAATCACAACGGTAATACAAACTTTTTGGATTTCATCCACAGGTTGGAAGCTAACAGAAGCACCTAGCTAGCTAGGGGCAAAGCTCTAAGAGTAAGAAGTGCAAGAACCACCGGCTAGACAAAGAACTGAAGTGCTCAAGGATGAAGATGTTGTCTTCTTGCTCTTTTCTTCACTCTTTCTCACTCTTGTTCTGGGTCTAGGTTTTCGGAGCCAAGAGAGGAGAGAAGAGAGGACATGAATGCCCCTGAGGGCTATTGGACAAAGGTTGGTCAAAGTAAGCGTATGGTTGGCTTGTTGGGGGAGAAGAGAAGAGATATTTGTAACCCCTTGAAAACTAACCGTTAAAGGAAATGTCGAAAGTTCCGACATTGGTTAGAACTTCTAATCCACAGAACTTCTGACGCCGAGTCAAACCTCTGAGACAGAAGAGCCGCAGCAGATGAGATTCACGCAAGTCTGAACTTCCGACATTGCAACACAAGTTTTGCGCAAGTCAGAAATTCTGATAGGGGTCGGAACTTTCGACTTGGTAAACTCCTAAACACTATTCTAAGTGTTTAGTGTTGTGTTTGTGTGTGTCTTCCATTATTTTAGATACTTGTTGAGCACTTGAGCATCATTCAAGATGGAAATGTACCCCTCTTTATAGTACGACTTTCCTAAACTCAAAATTGAAAAATATAAAGTGCCTTCATTGCTTTGAGTTCGAAGCCTTTGATTTAAAATCGATTGAGGATTCTCACTTCGTTTCGTGGTTCAATCAAATCTCTGTTTGTACTTGGTAAATGTGATTATTGCTCATAAAACTTGTTAGATCCTAAATTGCTTGTCATTAAAAACACCAAACCCACTTACTGGGCCAACTACATTTTCACAATGAACTCCTACAACTTAATGAACAACATTATAACAATAGTGCTTGTAAAATAACAATATTATGCACCGGGGCTTATCTGGGTAACTTGTATTATACTAAATTATTAACGTTGCATCAGTGCGACATATCATTTAGGTACGATGGTGGATTGATGGATCAACTGAAGAACGTTGGAGCCAAACTTGAAGAAGGTGCAATGGTGGTCCATCCTGGAGATGGTGTGCTGGTGATCTAAGTCCTCTAAAAATCAGTTTTTATAGGGGAGTGTATGGTGTCAGATGGCTCAGTGAACTTCACAGACGACATTTTTTTAGTAAATAAAATGTCGTATGTCCTGAAATTAATTTTGCAACAGTGGCTAGAGGTGGCGTGAAGCTACCACACATGTGAGGTTGTTTTTTTTAAAGGCATGTGAAGTAGGTTTTTGACCATATGTGCAGTTGGTTTTTAGTAGTGTGGTACTCGCAATGTAAGTTGAATACTGTTAATTCCTTTCGATACATAATATGTGGAATCCGTAGTTGTATAGCCGTGTAGAATCAGAATTTTGGTTTAGCTTTATAAAATGTGAGATAATATCAGCTTTTGAAATTATTAGTCAAGATAAAAATATCTGGTAGTATTAATTTCCCCTCAGGTTAATTGTTTGAAACCCACATCTCACTTTTAACCTTGTTTTGCTATTAATAAATTGATTATCTAACAGTAAATTTTGCTTGTTGATTGCAAGGGAAAATCATAAACAGCTAGTGACGACCTTTCTGAAAATTTCGTGCCTCACACCATGGATTTTCTGTTCTAAGTTAAAATTAAACCAATGCAACATGCCAACACACAAGAAAAGTTTCCATGCATTAATATTCACTCTCTCGAGATCTAGCTTGTTCGGCAATATATAGCTCCCCAGTGGGCAGAAAAGCTGATACTTGCCAGGACTATTGACTACATATAGACCACAAAAGTGGCATCGGTCTCTGATTTGCAGAAGCAGGTTAGTTGAGTCCTTTAGTACTTTTGTGCATCGTGAAAAAAAGTAGATTCCAACGGAGATGTGTACTTTGGTAAAGCAAAAGAAAATTGAATTGTATTTAGTAATAATATAATAGCATAATTAAAAGGAAAAAAGTGGAAAACTCTATCTCACGTCTCATAATTATGTATTGATATTGAAGCATTTAATTTGTTATATCAAAAGCAAACTTAGCAAATGGGGTGTTCAAGATGCCGCGTATTTTCACGGCCGACAATGTGAGTTTGCACACCACTACCAGCGTGTATATAAATTCATGCATGTCTATGGGTGCCAACCAAATTGACTGAAGCTAGCTTAATTTGTGTCATCATATTACAATACTCCAGTCTAGAACGACGATGGTGTTGTTCAACCACACAAATCCTTGCCCACTGTACATGTCCTCCTACATCCGCAACCTGACATCGTCCTACACAAACAAGAGCAATGACTCCACCATGGTGTCTTCCTCCGTCATCATGTTCGTTCTCACCGGCCTCTTCTTCAACCTCAACCTCTTCAGTGGCGTCTCCGACGTCAGCACCATCCTCAACCCCAAAGTCCGCGTCTTCCTCTCCACGTTGCTGTCCGTCTTCCTCCCAGTCATGTCTTACCTTTTCTCCGAGGCCAAGAACACCGGCAGCGTCTCGAGCCCCGCTACCCGTTCTGGTGTGGCCGACGACCTCTCGCTGAGGGCCGGGATGATCCTAGCATGGATGCTTCTGGTGGAGCTCCTTCGGAAGAAAGTGGACGAGATCCATATGCGGGGTTACTCGGGCACCATCCAGCGTGCCGGGCGTGTCGTTTGGCTGGGGAACCTTGTCTTCTTCAACATCGGAAGCGCCGGTCGGAAGGCGGTGTTTAGTATCCTCTGGATTCTTTGCGCTACCAAACTTGTGCAAAGAGTCGCCTTTACCGTGGTCGGGAAGCGTTCGTATGCCCATGGCAAGAATCCTCGGCTTATAAGCTCCTACATGGCTGAGATGCTAGAGAACCACCATCGCCAAGATGATGTTGAGCAAGCTGTCCATGTTGGGGACGAGCTGCTGAAGAGGTGCAGGTTCATCATCATGGGAGAAGAGAAGTTGGTGGAGGCAACCACTGTAGATGGCTACAAGGTGAGCAAGATCAACCCATCAAATGGCAGCTGCATCGTTACAATAGGCAAAGTTTGGGAGGTTGCTGAGGAAGACAAGCTCTTCACTTCCTTGGATAAAGAGCAACACCTGAAGAGAATCTGCCTCTCGTTTGCTCTTTACAAGTTGCTGCGGCGAAGGTTCGAGCACCTGCCGGCGATAACCGATGAAGCCCGCACTTGCCGGGACATCATCTTGAAAGGCCTGTACAGTGATGGTGGCAGCGAAAGGAATGCAGAGGCACTCTTCCAAGTGATGAGTGATGAGGTGACGTTCCTCAGTGAGTACTATCACTCCGTGGTTCCTGTCGTCCTTGCAAGCCCCTCCTTCCTCTTGGTAAACTACTTCCTTCTCCATATACTCGTAATGGCCTTGTGCTTCATGACCATCACTCTCTGTGGGAACGGAGACGTGAAGTACGCCTTCAGTAGCATACGTACCGACAACTACACTCTAAGATATGGCATTCCCAGTATAATCTTCTGCCTCGTGAGCAGGGTATCCTATTCACCCGCAGCCTTCTTCTCCATAGTAGATCTCTGTATCACCGTTCTCCTCTTCATCATCTTCTTCTACGAGGAGATATGGGAACTGTTTGTGTTCCTGCTCTCCAACTGGTTCATGGTATCACTGCTGTGCAACTACATAGCTAAACCCCACTGGCACGAGAGCACCATCTTTAGTTGGTCGTTTCCGGTTATCACATGGCTACGGGGCAAGATGAGCGACACCAACCTCAGGTTGAAGCAGTTTTCGGTGTTAAACATCCGTTGGCCTGTCAACATACCATTGTTTGCCACATTCTCCTTTCTTGTGAAAGCAGAGCTGGTGCCGAGCAACCTGAAGGAATCCATCATCGAGTACCTGGTGGAACATGACCGTGGTGCTGCTAACTACACCCCGCTGACCAACGGCAGGTCTGCGCTCCAGAGGAACGGTCTCTCTAATAGGCTGTCATGGGCATGTGACAGCGATAGTGTCGCCGAGGTCATCCTCACATGGCACATCGCCACCAGCATCTTGGAGGTTAAGTGTGCCCCGAGGAGTAGAGGGGAGGAAGTAGCCTCGAGCAAGGTGGCAACTAGGCTGTCCAAGTACTGTGCTTACTTGGTGGCGTTCCATCCGGAGCTGCTGCCTGATTACCAGGAAAAGGCAGAGCTTGTCTTCGAGGACATGAAAAAGGAGCTCAGGGGCATGATTGGGCTTCGAGAGTACTTCGCTTCACTCGGCGCACGGGTTGACAAGATCTTGCTGGATAGCACGCGAGCTGAAGAGGCCGGCAGGGAAGTAGAAGTTAGAATCCAGAGGGAAATTGATGAAGAGGAAGCTGCTGGCCTGCAGAGTGATCAAAACAAAGTTGTGATGAACGGCGCAAAGCTTGGTAGGTCGCTAATGGCCGAAGCCAACAACATCGGTCTAGAAACTGTGTGGAAGGTGCTAGCCGATGTGTGGACCGAGCTCGTCGTCTTCATTGTGCCGTCGAACGAGGAGGAGCGCGTGAAGGGGCACGAGGAAGCCCTGGTGCAAGGCGAATTCATCACCGTGCTTTGGGCGTTGACCACTCACATTGGCATATCTAGGCGACCGACCACCAAGTGAACAATGGCTTGTCACCCCGAAGCTTGAAGATGTATATGTGCTTCGGCACTTTACCCTCAGCTGGCTTGTTTTTTTTTTTAAGATAACCGAACAAAGTTTTCTTTCAAAAAGATAACCGAACAAAGTTTTGGCCTCTGTCGTCCTGGAATGGGAATGGTACACATTCAGCTAGCATGTATTTGTTTGCATGCTTGTGTTTGCGTCAGCGTGCCGTCGTATGATGACTCAACTTAAGAGTGGTGTGCTGTTAAAACCTCTAGTTCTGTTAAGGATTAAGTGTAGAATCCTACTAGGAGTAGGACTTCTACTTGCATATATGGGAGTCTTGGAAGGAACTATATAAACGACAGGGTAGAGGCTATAGGCATCAACAAAGTCAACGCAAGTGTCTCATTCAACGCCTGTAAGGAGCAATTAGGAGCGCTTAAGAAGATTAAGCAAGAATTAGAAGGTCCTAAAGGGTTAAGTAGGATTATGAGAGAGCAACAATCACTTATACTCTTTTCGAGTTGTTCTAATAGAATTTGTTGTGGGGTTTGTCAAAATCCTAGCTAATCTCTTATCGTGGTTGCTTTAACACCATCATCTAGGGTTTTGTACGTGATTGGACTGTGTTATTCTTGATATGGTGCAAGCTTGTGTCATATTTGCAACATCCTTTTCTTATCATTTTATCCTTGGACGAACTTGATCCTTCTTTAGTACACTTCGTGTTCTCCATGGAAGTCGATACCTTGGAATACTCCTGAATGAAAGCTACAATGGTACGGTATCTGTGTGCTTGCAGGTTTCTCTCTTTACGTTAATAAATACCAGAACCTGTTTTCAGCAGCCTGAGCCAATGAAGAAAAAGCCAAAACTCAATCAAACGAACTCCGATTGGGCTCAAATTTTGTGGAGGCGTTCCTAAGGAAGTTTAGAAACTATCTCTAAAAGATCAACTCCAAAAGACCAAGGGAAATCCATAGATCAAGAAATTCCCTAATCTTGTGCTCACGAGGAATCTAGTCAATTCGACTAGTAGATATGTTCCTCATGTGTCATAACACGTATCAAGTCATCCCAATCGGTCCCAAGTCCTCCGAAAAAATGAAATCAACAAAAACACAAGAGAAGGGGGTTTGGGAGAGGGAAAATCGAAACAAAACAAGAACTCAGATCTTAGCCTTGAAATTTAGTGGTCAACTTGCTTTATTTAAATCACCAACAAGATCTGGTTCTTACAGAGGTCAGGTTATACAGTAGAGGAATCACTCTCTACACTGCGGATCTCCTACCATTGCTTAGGGAAAATGGAAACTAGAGAATGGGAATCCTAAGGAAATGACAACTGGAGAGATGGGCTGGTTAGGAGCAGTCGTCCTCTTATTTATAGAGCTATTACAAAACCCCTAACATACCCTTAGGTATTTTAGCTGAACCACTTAACCCCAGGGGCAAAATGGTCCAACTTGAGATCCAAGCATCCGATGGTCACGAGCTCTTCACGACTTTGTTTCGCCTCGATACAAGCTTCACGATGACACCACGTGCCTCCTCCTGTTCCTGCTAGAACTCTAATCGGGCTTTGAGACCCAAACCCAAAAATCCCCCGTCGATGGTTGAGGCCCAAACCACCAAACCACCTGGAGAAGCGTATCCACAACGCCTCCTCCACGATCTCGACACATGCCACCATTATCCATGACACGCCTAATCACCAAGTCTTCTTGCGCCTTCGCTTGACTTGGTCAACCACCATCTTGACTTGGTCAACACAATGTGCTCCTCCTCATGTGCTCTTCTTGTTGATGTCCCCAAGTGTCAGCCACCACTGTCAGTCTTCCCGCCATCTTGGTCCCTTGGTCCAAGCCTCATGTCTGTTCTTCACTGCTTCTAGTCCATCGACATGGCACGTCTCTACTTGACCTTCTCCATGCTCATCGTCTGTCTCTGTGCTCCACACCTGCACACCAACATAGCCAAGAGACAAGTTGCCCACACACTCACACCATGGTTAGTCTCCAAACTCAACCAAAGCCGATCATTTCCTAACAATTACTCATCATAACTCGACACACAAGGGCACATGTCAACCTTGTGTTTGCACAAGCAAATCACCAATGATGGCTTCATGTTTTTTAGAAAGACTTAAGACATCGATGAATGTTGGGGTGATGAAAGGGCTAGTCAATGAACTACATGGCAGCAGTAGCTCCAACACTAGTTTGAGTACGGAGAACCATGTAAAAAGTTTAGCTTGATTCCTCTATATTGGTATTTGTTAACGCAAACAGATAAATCCACAAGCGTATGGATAACGCTGTAGCTTTCACCCAGAGTATTCCTAGGTATCGATTTCCACAGGGAACATGAAGCGTACTAGAAAGGATCAAGGTCGTCCAAGGATAAAGTGTTTTTGTTGATAGAGAGGGGTTTTCTAAGGTTCTTCCAAGATAGACTAGATAACCAAGGTCCAGGCTTACTAAACTTATTTACTTCGGAGCAACAGTGCCTTTCTGATCCTCAAAAAGACTGGGAAGGGGTGATCGGGGGAAGGCTGCCAAAAGCTCTATGAAAACACCAAACCACACGTGGTAGAATACAAAGGCCTGGTCAGAGCTGTCACCTCTAGGGCTACCACAACTATCCGTGGGTTTGGGTGCAAACTCAGGTAAACTCTAGCCTAGACATCACGTCTATGCTAGCGATTACTACTCTAGTCCGGTACCTTAGACTAGAGCACTCGATCGAGCGGAGTTCCCGTAAGTAAGTAAAATAGAACTTGAACTAGTCAAATAGAAAGCTTGGATTTACCAAAGCAATACCTGGATATTACTCAAAAGTTGAGTCAGCTCCATAGAGGTACAACAATCGAGGAGGACCCGACAGACTCGGCTCTAGCTCTGCTCTCTTCCTCTCACTCTCTCCGTATTTTCTTTTACTACAACTAGGTAGGAGCACCTAGAGGGACACTACTACTAAGAATATGAAGGAATGCTCAATGTAGAGGTGTGTCATGAGACGGGGGGTACCCCTCTATTTATACACGAAGGTATGGCGGTGCTCTGGCTATTATTGGCACGAAGCCCCGGGCTACACCGCCATAGCATGAAGCCATGCCGCCGCCGTCGAAGGAGAGGCTGAGGTGCGCCAGCAGGGGGCCAGCTGCCCCCTAGGACCGGCCGTCCCTTGACTGCGTCACCTCGCCACCGCCTTTGCGTGGCAGGCCATGGGCTGGTCATGGATCACTGCTCTGTGGGTTTTTGCCCAATTTGAATTGAGTTGATTGACGTCTCCCTTATTCCTTTGCGCAAATCAACGTCGAGAAGCGCCTTTTGGTGATTTATTTCATGTATTTGTGTTTGTGACCTGCAAAATAATGTTCTCCAAATACATGTGGAACTTGGTTAATAGTAAATCCATATGTGCTTAAGTTTGCCAATTTCTCCTCTTTTTGTCACTTATTTGGCGGTCAGATTTGATCGGTAAAGACCGCCAACAAGCTCCCCCACACTTAGATCTTTGCTCATCCCAAGCAAAGGTTAGGATAAAGTAAACATAATCATAGCTATTCAAGATATGGGCTAGCATAAGGTTTATTCCAAAAACTTTACCTCATACCTGTGGGATATGTGGAGTGGCTAACATATCTTCTTAAGTGGTTGAAATGTGGAACGGCTCTGAAACAAAGTCATCTCATCCCATTTTCCTATCTTAGTAACTTGGAGTTTTTTTGTAAACTTTTTGAAATAAAGCATAGTTCACATGTACTCCTCAAATGGTGCTCTCGAATCGCTCAATAGTGTTTGATTTCTCACAAGACATATCATAGCAATGCCTTCTTTTTCTTCCTACTTCTAAAAGCTTATGTGGAGCTCAGGTAGGGAAAAGTATGAGGGCATACTTGCATTGCATATTTTGCTAAGTCAAACAATGGATCCGAGGAGAAAGATGTCATACAATCAAATCAAGATGTGCATGTGTGTGGAACATTAGGTGGATATATGGTGGCTAAACCTAATTTTACTATGCTCATTTTTAACACATCTCTCTCTTTATTGGGACTTGGAATATTTTTGTGAGAGCATGGGCTATCTTTATTCTCATCTTTCTTTTCTTCTTTTCTTTCTTATCATCTCTTTTTCTTTTTCTTCTTTTTTTGATGATAGTCTCATGCCTCTTTTTTGCAACAAAACTTTTGAGAGAGATATCAACAAGGATTTGGAGCATTTATTTTGATGGAACCTAACAAACATATTTTTGTTCACTCCCTATGTAGGAGTAGAACATTTTTGGATAGATCTAGGTTAAAGGCATGTTTTTGCGCCTACTCCCAGTGTAGGAGTAGTGCTTATATTTGGTGGCGTGTACATGATCTTGATTTTAAAAGCATGATAACTTTCTCAACATGGGTCAACAAGGTTTGACAAAGCTCAACACAAAACAAGTAGCATATGCGGAAGGTTTTCAACATGATATTTGGCTTTGGTAGGAATTTTCTTACCATTGAGGAGTATGTGTGAAACTATGGAATTTGACATTTTATAAAAAGAAAATTCTCCAAGTACTTTGAATAGAAAAGGTTGGATTTCCATGCCAATGCCATATCTCACTTCACAACAACTTAGTCAATATGTTTTTCCTATAAGATATTTTTCCCACAAGCACTAATTGTATGTAAGGAATAAAGATTATGCAAGCTAATCTCAAAGAGCTATATTTATATTCACTTTCAAATTTGACTCTAAGTGTGAAACTTGGTTCTTTTTAATTTGCATGTTTAAACGAGTGTAGAACCGGGAGTATGCATATGAACAAGTGAAATAGGATCAGAGTTGCATGCAAGCCCCAACACCAGTTCATTATGTGGTTCAGTGCTTTTGTTTCATATTTTAAGTTTGATTATCATGTATGACATTTTTAAACACAATCAAACTTATAGGAACTAAACATGGGTGAGAAGATGGAGTGCAAACCAATGTGCCTAAGAGAAAGCATGGTAGGGTCGGGTCCCCCAC